TAATAATATAATTTCTATTTTTATAAAAGATAGAAGCATTGTTTTTTTCTACTATTTTAGTTTTAAAGAATATTAATTTTCTGGAAAAAATAATATAAAACTTATTTGTGAATTACAGTAAATATAAATTTTGTAACAGTGGAACCTCGATAATCCGAGTTTCCAATTATCCGGGCCACCATTTATTTCAATTTTTTTTTGATCAGTTTCAAAAAATTGTTACATAAAAGTGCGTGTGAAAATAATGAATGCATTTCTGTTTTTTTCGTGTTTTGCAGTTTTTTTTTGCTTACTGCAATTACATATACAACTTTTGCTCAGACTTTATTTTAAAATTTCAATAATTTATCTTCAAATTAGCTAAAGATTCACAAATCACTAACAAATTAAACAAAGCAAAATGAATTACATTTTTTTATTAACATACAACGTGATTTTAAAGTTTGTGCAAAAATTTTAACAAGTACCTATAATGAGTAAATACGTAAAGCTCATAAGAAATCAAAATAACTCAATTTGCCTAGGCTTGGATATAGTTTTTAAGAATTTTTCTCATCGAATAAATTTAAATATTGAGTTGAAATAAGCAAAAACAGACACAGAAAAAAGTGTCCTCATATAAAAAAATATCATAAAATGGTACCTAAATATTGCTTCCCTTTTTTTTAAGATATCACCTAATTTTATTACCTCAAATGTTACCGATTATTTTTCCGTGGATTTTACCCTCAATATCTCAGAAACTAAATATTCGGATAAGACAAGTTTAGTAATTTTGACTTCTTTTGACCTCTACTATCGCCTGTTAAAATATTTGAACAAACTTTAAATTCACCCTGTTTAAACAGAGAAATCAAAAATAAATCTAAACTAAGTTTTATTTAATGCAATATTTAGTTGTACGAGTAGCTACAATAAATAAAAAAGTTTTTGTTTTACAAGTAATAAATATTATGTATGAAGTGTCACTGTCACTGCGAGAAAAAAAACTCACTTTTAAGCCGAATAAAACATACTATTTTTTTTCCAACCAACAATACCATGCCCAAAATTAGAAAAAAAGTACTTACATTGTTTTATTAGGATTAAAAGTGGCAATTTTTAGGGCTAAAATTAAAAAAAAATAAGTTTAGGATTAAAAGTGAGAACTGCCATGGTTACAATTTTTTTTCCTAGTTATAAAAACGTCAATTTCATCTTATAAAAGTGATATTGAAAATGATATGTTTTAATTTAATAAAAAACAGGGTGCTCCAGAACTCGCTCCTCATAAAAATTTCAAAGTTATGGGAGTTTAAATTTCGCACTTTGATTCTATTTATTTCTGTTGGAAAAACACTTTTTCAAGTTTTTTGCTACTAGCTATTAGAAGAGAAAACAAGGAAGCTGTATTCTAAATTGTAATTCTATTTAATGTTATTTGTGGCTTTTATTAAGTAATTATAAAAAAACATATCATCAGTATCATCAGTATCATTAATAAATGGACATAAAAAAATGTCAAATGTCAAAAATTTTCGACAGAATTTTTTAAACATTTTTTTCATGTTGCTGATATTTTATCTTACTTGAAATTTTTCTCTGGCACATAATAAAATGTATTATAAAGAAATATTTATCTACGAGTTATAATAAAAATCTCGAATTCCTCGAAACACTTGCGCAGCAATACTGTTATCTTGTTTTATCGGATACAATTTCTTGCATTCCTTAATCCAGGCAAAAACCTCAAATGGTGCAAATAAATTGTCGCTATTCTCGCCCACTCTCGGACTTTGATAAATTCCACCAACAATGAGGGCTTCTTGAACCACTTTAGCACAGTTTTTCGTAAGAAGATGGTAGCGATTATTAGTCGTATAGTTGCTCCACCAAGACTTGATCTTATCCTGGTTGACAATGTCGTCAGGAAGTTCTAAAATTTCGTCAGCCGGTCTACCTTCTGACTTTACATCATCTTCGTAGCTTTGAACTCCTGCAGCATTTTTCTTCCTTTTAAGTTCTAGTTCTTCTTGCGGCCAAAAACTGATATGAATACTATCGGAAAGAGACATTGAAAGGTGGCCAACGTTCGTCCCGTGAAATCTCCAAAGATAAACTTTTATCATTGTGATTTTGCACTACGAATGATCTTAAACTGAATTTAATATCAGTCAAGATCAATTCTTACCATAATAAATATCTTATCTAGATATTATTTTGATAATTGTGAAACAATAATAAACATAACACTTGTTGGCAAACTAATCACATTCCTTCATGTTATTAGCCCACCTATCCTTAGAAGCATTCCAACAAATCAAATTAATTACTTTTTGCGTTTCTTGTCCGTAAACATATTTTTTGTTTTAAAGATTTGATAAATTCTCCACTTTATTTATCCAAAAACTAAGAAAGTGGAAAACTCAACCAACAGAAATTTCAAACATTTTTCTAAATTTAAGTTCAAAGAAAAGGAATATTCGCATTTTTGCGATTTTTCAACCAAACGCAATTTTTGGCAACCCGATTCCGCGGTCCTCCCACCGCATCACAGCCAATTTGATTAACTCCCCTTGGTTCCAGGACTTATCCCAACGTTTGGGCGACGACAAGACCATCTCCGAGCACCTCAAGCTTCCGATTCAACGCATCAACGATTACCAACTTTTATTAAAGGTTTGTTTGTGCCAATAGGAATTTAAATAAATCGAGTTGTTTTTGATGGTAGACTGTGCATGCAGAATGGGCGCCGATCCCGAAACTTAATAATATATTTAGAGCGACAGAAATAACCAGTGTTGACCCATTTCAACCGCCCACGATCAATGTCATGTAAACTTTAAAATTTTCAAACGCAACAATCACGTCAAGTGGTTGTTTTGACGTTTTCATCAAAATTCGCAGTGTGATGGCGCAAGAAAAAGCGGCCTCTTTACTCAACGCCAATGATATTTTCGCCTGGTTGGGCCTTTTGGGAATCGTGGTTTTAGTCGTGCTTATTCTCTATAGATTATTTATTGCGCGGTGTTGATATTTCCCAAAAGGTGAGTCGTGAAAATTTTGACATTGTTGGCTCTGAAACAAGCTAATTTTTTTGAAAAAGTGCCCAAATTTTAGTACCATGTGGGGCGATTTTCTCTTTTATTGGGTGGGAGTTGTGGTCGTCTGTTGGGTCATTTACCACGTGTATGACACAATTGTGCGAAGACGCCAGATGCAATACTAGTTTTTTCGTCAAGTGACATTTAATTTTTTTACAAAATTGTCAAAATTTTCGTGCCAAAATGCCGGGGGATTTGTGTATCTACTACGTCGGCCTTATCGCCACTATCATCATTCTTTACTACATCATCGTCAACATTTTGATGCGTAGAACTTAGATAAGCGTGTTGCAGGAGTTGGTGAGGTATAGTGCGTGTCTTGGCGAGGACAACAGTGACCTTCAGAAAGCCCTAGAGTTGATGCTAAGTGTCCCTCATAGGGCACAGGACGAAAAGTTTACTTCTAACATCGAAGGGTATCGTGGAAGTATCCACAAACTAGGACGACTTCTTGCCCACGACTGGTTCTCAGTCACTTTTGGTCAAGTTACCAAAGAAAGATATCTCTTCTTGTTCAAAGGCAAAATTTTGATTTGTAAAGTTAGACGCATTTCTGAAGATCGATCAGTCTTCCAACTCAAAGACATAATCCAGGTAAAAATTGTGTTTTTCTTATTTTTCGACAAAAATCAACAAGTATTTAGCTCAATCGGGTCGCTGTCAAAGAACATCCAGAAGAAGAACGAGTTTTAGAACTAATTGACACTTTTGGTGGACAATCATTGGTCCTTACTGCTCACAGAGACCACATCACCGAATACTGGCTCAAAGAAATTAAAGAGTTTGCACAAGAATACGGTACTTGAGGTCACATTCTTCCAAAGTTAGTAGTACAGTCTTAATTTTCAGAAGAAAACGAAGATACAGAAGCTGAAGCTGAAGATTTCCAAATTGCATCGTCGTCACCACCCACTGAGCAATCGAGGTCAAGTCCGGAAGAACTAGAAAAGCCCAAGCAAGAGGAGTTTGAAGAAACTGCACCAGTTGTTGAAGAATCAAAACGTGAAGAAATTAAAACAGTAGAAGCACCTCAACTTTTAGAAGAAAAGCAAAAAGAAGACCAAGCAAGATCAGAAAAAGAGCCGAAGAAAACTCCAGCAGTAGAACCACCTCCACATTTAGAAGAAAAAAAGGACGAATTCTTATCAAGATCGGAAGTAAAGCCTGAAAAAACTAAAGTAGTTGCGCCATCTCCACCATTAGAAGAAAAGCGGAAAGAAGTTATTCCGAAAGTAGTAGAAGAATTTAGACCAAGACCGAAAGAAGGACCTGAAAAAACTAAAGTGGTTGAGCCATCTCCACCTTTAGAAGAAAAGCGAGAAAAAGATATTCCCAAAGTAGTAGAAGAATTTAGACCAAGACCGAAAGAAGAACCTGAAAAAACTAAAGTAGTTGAAGAAAAACTGAAAGAAACTTGTCCTCAAATTGTAGAACAATCTAGACCAAGACCAAAACAAGAATCTGAAGAACCACCTCCGCCTTCGGAAGAAAAAAAGGACATACCTATTCGTCAACTAACTAGGAAAAACCAAGAGGAGAAGAAAGTTGAAGAGCAACCTCAACTGAAATTAGAAGAGAAGAAGACCAAAGGAGAAGCAAAGCTAGAAGAAAAAGTCAAAGAAGAGGTTCAAACCGAGAAAAAAGTTCCTAAAACTGGCGAAGTTTCTAGTGTTTTGACTAAATCTAGTATAGTTAATGTCGAAACAGCCGACGACATGAGTAGAAGATATACTTCATCCTCTGCAAGAGCAGGTTAGTTTCACCGAAATGCAATAAAAAAATTTTGAGTCAAATTGTCTTTTCTTGTGTTTTGTCATTTATTTGTTCAAAATTTTGGTACACACATGAACAAATTACACATTTTTGAAACACAGTCGCGCTTGCTGTGAGTTTGCACAAATCTATTGGAGGTCTTGCTTCACAGAAGGCTATTCGGAATCGTCGTATAGCCGCAGATCGCAGTCTTCATATTCCAATGATGGGTCTCGGTACGACTCCATCACCAGTAAATACGGCAGTGCTGAGTCCTCCATCGGGGGGTCAAAATACGAGTCGGTGGGTTCTAAGTACGATACTGGCGGTTCGAGCTATTCGAGGAGGTCCATAAGAGGGGAAATTGGGAATGATGATGATTTCAATTACTCGAGGAGGTCGATAAAGTCGGCCACTGCTGAGTACGGGGATGGGGAGAGTTACACCAGACGCTCGATCAGAGCCTCGGCTGAGGCCACTGGAGATTTGGATGCTTATTCCGTAAGAAAATCAATCAAAACCTCTGCTGAAATCCTAGGATACGGTGGCGATGATGATGCTTACTCTGGGAGAACAGGGAAGAGATCGGTTTCAATCGAGGAAGTTGGCGATAGTGGCAGGTACTCAAGAAAGGCCTTAACAGCCCGTGACAACATTGAGGAAGAGCTTTTGTCAAAATATTCCCCCTCGAAATATTTAGAAGACCGCGAGCATGAAGATGTTTACGCCAAATACGAACGAAAATACTCCAGAACTGATTCTTCTGATACCAAATCGAAATATGCGAGAAGTAGCTCCATTGAGCAGAAAGGAGCAGAAGAAGACGTTTACGCGAAATACACTCGAAAATACTCGCGGACCGACTCCTCGAAATCACACGAAGAAGACGAAGACAAAAAGTACTTAAAGGCGTACAAAAGGACTGATTCCGCCAAAAGCGACCGCGGTGAGTCTATGCAAACGCTTCAGCTTTCTAACTCTGCAACCACTCGCACACTCTTCATGTCTGCTAATCCCAACTAAAGCAAACTTCATTTTATTTCACTCAAACATTCCAGAATCGTCCTCAATTCGCAGCGAAACAACAATCTCCAATGGCAAAGAAACCAAGAGAGAAATCGCAGCTAGTAGCGAATCGATTTCCTCTTCGACAATGATCAAAGAAACGTCCAAATCCGGTAAACATGTGGAAGAAACGCAGGTTTCCGGCGACGAAGAACGAAATCGCTTCATCAAAACCATCAGAGGTGCAGACATTGAACGTGAGTACTTTATTTGCTTGCAACGCTTTTTCTGAAGAGTTTGTCACCAGCTGGTGAAAAATTCACCTTTGAAGTTGCTCTAAAATCAAAACCTGACACTTTTACGTGGCTGAAAGACGACAAACCGCTTGATGCTAACGCGATTATGTTGGGACGCATCCAAATGAGGCACAGTGACGATACTTACCACTACAAGCTTTACATTAACCCGACCCATGACGACGATAGTGGCTACTACACGGCTTTAGCTACCACTCTTCATGGCACCGCTGCTTGCTCTGCTTTGCTCATAGTCCACCAAAGTTGGTACTAAATCTCTAATAAACCACTCCTAAGTCAAAAATTTTTAGTGACTTCTGAGGAACGCCTCGAAAGAGCCAAAACAGACAAACCCGAGTTTGTAGTCAAATTGAAAAATACCGAACTTGCGGAAAACACCTATTTGAGATTCATGGTCAAAGTCCGGGGGGATCCCAACCCTGATGTCATTTTGTAAGTCCCACTAACATCAAGAGTGTCAAATAATGCGTTTCTAGCTTTAAGGATGGTGTCATAGTCGAGAAAAGTGACCGATATGAAGTGATTCGTGAGCACTCAGATCGGGGCTTCTACGAATTGCTCATCCCGGAAGTCCAAATGTCGGATGCAGGAGAATACAAGTGTGTGGCTTCCAACAAATGGGGAGAGGATTCTTGCGAAGCAACTTTAAAAGTCACTAGTAAGTCCTAAACCGTGTTTTGATCCTTTCTAAGACAAATTTTAGCCGAAGACTTGCACAAAGACATGCCCGAGGGTGAAATTCTTCCGCCTGGTGAAAGCGCCGAGTTCCAGTGGAAGAAAGATGGAGCTCCTTTCGAACCCGATGAGCGTTTCAAAGTACTCATGGGTGACGATGAGGACTCTTTGGCTTTAGTCTTCCAACACGTCCGTGCTGAAGATGTTGGACTTTACACCTGCGTGGCCCAAACGTCTCGAGGCCATATCAGCTGTAGTGCAGAATTGACGGTTCATGGTACCGTCAACCAGTTGGTACGAGAGCCGGAAAAACCGGTACTCATTGTTGAAAAACGAAATCCTGTTGTAAACGCTGGTGGTTCCGCCATGATTGAATTGCAAGTCAAAGGGTTCCCCAAACCGCAAGTCAAGTGGACTCATGAAGGTAAACCTATTGAAGCGGGAGGAAAGTACAAGTTTCTCTACGAAGATGAAGAAACTATGTCTTTGGTTATTAAAGACGTCCAGAAGGAGGATGCCGGCAAGTACCAGTGTACTGCTGAGAATGAAATAGGCTCAGATACGGCCGAAATGACTCTAACTGTGAAAACACCACCAAAATTGAAGAAAAAAATTGGGGATGTTGACGCCCATGCTGATCTTCTTTTGGAGATCCCGGTAGAAATTGAAGGGACACCTAGACCGACAGTTGTGTTCTACAAAGATGGAAAAGAAATCAAGAAAGATGAACGAATTAAAGTGATTGAAGAGAATGACAGGGTTGTCCTAGTGATAGAAAAGACAATGCTCAAAGACAGTGGTTCCTACTCTATTGTGGCCACCAATGAATTGGCCCAAATCTCAGAATTCTTCAATTTGAATATTTACACAAAGCCCAAAATTTTGGAAAAGCTAGGTAAAGACAAAATCGTGTCCCAAGAGGAAAAATTCGAGCTCAGAGTGAAGATCGAGTCAGAACCAGAAGCAGAAGTGAAGTGGTACAAAGACGACACTGAGATCAAGTCAAGTGACCACTACGTTATGAAGAAAGACGGTGAAACGTACATTTTGAAGATCACAGGAGCTGTAACAACAGACGCAGCCCGATATAAAGTCAAAGCTGTCAATATTCACGGTTCTGTAGAGGACGACATCAGAGTCGATGTGAAAAAAGCCCCCAAAATCACCAAAGGCCTTCAAGACATGACCGTGAACGAACACGACAAACAAGTCACCTTGGATGTGAAAGTTGAAGCCTTCCCCAAGCCCTCAGTCAAGTGGTACTTGGACGAAATGGAAATCACCGAGACCAAAACCGAATTTACAAGAGTTGAGTCTGACGATGGTGTCAAATTGGTAATTAAAGAAGTCACTAGTGAATTGTCAGGAAAATACACTTGCAAGTTGAGTAATGAGTGTGGCAGTACCGAAACTAGTGCCAAACTCACTGTTAATTGTAAGTAGTACTCGAAAGAGTTGGTGGTGTGTTTTAAGTCAAATTTAGGCGCTCCACGTATCATCAAGCAGCTGAAAGACACCACAATTGAAGAAGGTGCAACTCTTCACCTGGAAGTTGAAGTTGAGGGTTGCCCAACTCCCACCGTGAAATGGTTGAGGAACGGTCGTGAAGTTTCAGCAGATGCCCGAATTAAAATCAGTCGAGACACACAAAGACATGAAACTTTCAATCTTGCCGTCAATCTCATCAAATATGAAGAAGAAGGAGAGTATGAAGTTGTTGTAACAAATTCGATGGGGACTGTCTCTAGCAAGAGTTATGTAACAGTACACAGTAAGTATTTTGGGTCTTGGAACCTCAGATAAGTAGTTTTCTGCCCCTTGAAAAAGATTTTGAAAAGTCTCGGTTTTTACCCCCTGTGAAATGTCTTTTTGGGTTTTGATACCTGACTCATTTAAGTGTTTTGACCCTTTGACCCTTCACTAACCAAATTACAGAGGTAACCCATACCGATGCTATAGAAGTTGAAAAAGAACCACCAATGCAACTTAAAGTTGAAGTTGTTGAGGAAGAAACGCAACAAGCGGAGTTGGCACAAAAGGAAGAATTAGAAGTAGGTAAAGAAGAAGCTCAGAAAACTAAAACTGAAGATGTTGAAAAGCCGACTCAAGGTAGAGTATTTAAGAGTCGTAAGTATAGTTAGTATCGCCAAAACTCTCAAGTGACAGAGTTTTGCTTTGCGATGCTTGTGTGCTTATGTCTCTTAGTTCTTCTTAGGTACTTTTATTAGTAACACTTGACACAATTAGGTACAATAGCTGAAAAAATAGACATAGAAGAGAAACAAATCAAACACTCTACACCTGAACCCATTATTGAGGAACCTCTCTCACCTCAAATACAAAGAGGTCATTCTGATATTTTAGAAGAGTCTGAGTTTGTCGAAAATGATGAAATAGAAAAAGTCCAACATATCAAAGAAGAAGATTTGCCTAAAGTCAAATCGAAACGTGCCAAATCAATCCAAATTGAAGAGATTCAAGAAAACGAGCTTTCTTCCGAACCTAAAACTCCTGTCGAGACGGAGGTTCCGAAGAGAAAGGCTAGCAAAGCGCAAGCCGCCACTGTAGAAGAAGTTGAAATTGTTGAAAGTCTGAATGAAAAGCCCCAACAATTGCAAGAAAGTAAACTCAAAAGACAGGAAAGTCAGAAAGGGGCAAGGGAATATGAAGAAGAACAAGACGAAGAAATAGAGGCTCTGCTAAAACGGGCCCAAAAACAGCGAAGTTTAGTTGAGGAGTTACCTCAAAAGGGTGAACTCGATGAAGGTACTACTCATATTCAAAACTCACTAAACACACAACACGGTGTCTTAATTTACGTGTCGTACGCACTACTAACCAGCTTCTGCTAAAACCTAAGTCGCTCTTCTAAGCAAGGTAAGAAGAAACGTCAAGCTTGACCAGTTGGTTTCAGAACACTTGTTAATTTTTTTTTCATTTAGCTAAACCAACAATCACTTCTTCAAACATGAAGGATTCTTCACGTCCGGAGTCATTGGATGTCTCTTATATTGTCAAGGGGACCTCAAACCCGCCCCCAAAAGCCACTTGGACCATCAACGGACAAGAATTGAAGCCTGATAGTAGAGTCAGAATGACCAACAAGGGTGAAGAGTTCAAATTAGAAATAGTCAAGTTGAAAATGGACGATGCTGGAAAAATTGAGTGTATTTTATCAAATCCTCTTGGAGAAGCCCGACAATCGGCCATGTTGGAAGTTACACGTATTTGATGCTTTATTTTGTAGATGTTTCAAAGAAAAATATTCTGTTTTCAGCGGAGAAAGAGTTGCGGAGGCCGAAGTTGAAGGAAGGTCTCAAAGACCAAACAATTCAGAAGAAAAATTCTCTGACGTTCAAAGCTGTGGTCATTGGAGATCCAGTCCCGGATGCCACATGGTCAGTCGATGGTCATGAATTGACCTCCGAGGCTTTCGAAAAGTACAAAATCATCCTCGAAACCGAAGACCACGAAATCCAAGACGGTTTGAAAGAATGCACTTACACTTTAACAATTCCCAGATGTAAGTCTTGATTTTTTGCCAATTGGGTCTGAGTCAAGGTAAATTCCCCTCAGGTGAGAGATGCAATGCCGGTAAATACACCTTCTTTGCCAAAAACAAATGGGGAGAGTGCAACAGCAGTGGCCAACTCACTGTGGTTCTCCGTCCTGAGATCGAAGGACCTCAGAATGTTTCGGTGATTCCGGGAGAAGCCACTGAGTTGGTGTGCAAGATTCAAGCCAATCCGCAAGCTGAAGTTCATTGGACGAAAGACGAGCAAGTTGTTAAAGAAACTGAGAATCTTAAGATTGTCTCAGATGTTGCCAATGAGACTTATAGATTGGTGTTCAAAAAGGCGCTCTTGTCGGATGAAGGTTACTATAAGGTCGTAGCCAAGAATAGTCTTGGCGAGAGTTCATCAGAAGCGCGTCTCAAAGCAGTCAGTAAGTAGAAGTCTTGTTAATTTAAGGCCCCTTGTTTCCGTCCGATGTCTCACCTTGTGTTTGTTTTTACAGAAGAAGCTGAACCCTCCAGTAAGTGTCCACTGTCTCTCTTTCTACTTCTTTGTGCTTTTATCTCTAACCGCATTCTTCTTTAACCCAATTATTGCTTTTTGCACGATATTTTTATTGTTACTATTATAGCGGAGAAACCAACGATTATCACTGGTTTGTCCGACGACCAAGTCGAACATACCAAAGAGATTTCGGTGATGGTGCGAGCCGATGGTTTGCCCAAACCGCAAATCCGTTGGTTACTCAATGGTAAACCCATCGTCGAAGACGAGAAACACAAAATTGAGAGTCATGCTGACGCCCAAGTCACCAGCACTCTCACCGTGAGCAATTTCAATGACAGTGATTCAGGAATTGTAAGTTTTTGGTTTTGGTACCACTGAAAAACCTAATTGAGACTTGTAGTACAAAGCCATTGCGGCTAATGTTCAAGGGGAGGCTGATACAAGTGCTAGAATCACTATGGTGCAAACACCACCAACTTTCGGGAAAAAATTGGAACGTTCCGAGGATGTCATCGAAGGGGAGCCTTTGGAACTCAAAGCTAAAATTAACGGAAGTCCTAAACCGACTGTAAGTACTCTTGGCGTATTTGAATAACTATTAGTGACTCGATTTAGGTCATTTGGTACAAAAACGGGGAACCAATTGACGACGAAAGGGTCAAAACCACTGTCCTCCCTGATGGTACCGTCAAGCTCAACATAGATCATGCACAACCTAGTGATAGTGGGGCTTACAAGCTTGTAATCCAGAACCCGAACGGCGAGTCAGCAAGTTTGTGCGCTGTGGCAGTCCAACGTAAGTCTAAAAACCGCAAAATACCACAAACCAAGTCCATTTTTTACAGAAAAGCCTCAAAGACCCAAATTTTTGAAATGTTTCAAAGACGTCAAACTCCCCATCGGCGAAACTCTTCGTCTTGAAGCACAAGTCCAAGCCCATCCTCCGCCAGAAATCAAATGGATCAAAGACGGGGTTCCGGTCCGAGTGTCCTCAAATATTCACTTTGAAGTCCACCCTGACGGAAAAGTCGCCCTTATTGTGGACTGCGCAAAGCCGGAAAATGCCGGAAAATACGAACTCCAAGTCTCCAACAAATATGGTGATGCTATGGGGGAAGCTTCAGTTGAAATCGAGAAGAAGCCAACGAAGCCAGAATTTTTGGTACGATTGGTACCCCAAACCGTGGTCGAAGGATTCCCGGTCAAATTCGAAGTCAAGGTTGTGGGGTTCCCTGCCCCAAAGTTAACTTGGTCGAGAAACGGTGCTGAGGTCATTTCTGATAATAAACACATTAAAATAACCGAATTGCCTGATGGTACCAGTGTTTTGCTCCTTGATGCGGCTAATCAAGCCCGTGATGGGCTCACTTACAGGGCTATAGCTATAAATGAGGCCGGAGAGGCTGAAACTAGTGCCCCCTTGACGGTCATATCGGCCACTAATAGCGAGAATCCGGAGGAAAAACCCATGTTCTTGCATCCGTTGAAGGACGTGACGGCTGATGAAGGCAAATCGTTGGTTCTTTCGGCCCCCTTTACCGCAAATCCGGTACCAATGGTTGAGTGGAGTAAAGATGGAGTTCCTTTGAAACCATCAGATCGCGTTTTGGTCACCTGTGATGGTAAAAAAGTCGGGCTTGAGATTTTAAATGCGGTACCTGGGGATGCAGGCCGGTACTCGGTTAAAATTTCGAATCCTTTGGGTGAGGAATCTTCAGAAGCAAATGCAGCTGTTCATAAAGTCTTCATGCCTCCACATTTCACTCAAACGTTCACTGATTTGCAACAACTGCCAGGAAGAGATGCCAAATTCCCGTGTCGGGTTAGTGGAGTCCCACAACCGGAAGTTGTTTGGACTAAAGATGGACTTCCGATCAAGGAATCGGACAAGTACCATATTAAACGTGACGGCGATTTATGCTGTTTGTACGTCTTGAATTGTTCTCCCGACGATGCTGCCGTCTACCGAGCCCGTGCTATCAATAAAGAAGGTGAAGAAGTTTGTACTGCGTCGCTCGAAGTCGTCGACCAGATGTGAGTACTATGCCAAAATTTTGGACTTACTTATATGTTGTACTTTCAGAAAAACCAAAAAGAAGATTGAACCCCCAACCTTCCTGAAACGTATCGGTGACACTGAACTCTTCAAAGGCATGACGGCCAAATTCACTGCATGTGCTAGTGGATACCCCGAACCGGAAGTCGAGTGGTACCACAATGACCAAAAACTCTTCCCTTCGAATCGCATCAAAATGGAAACGGATCCCAATGGACTTCTCCGATTGATCATCTCCGATTTGGACGAAGCCGATCTTGGAAAGTACTCATGCAAGATAACGAACGAGTATGGTGGTGACATCTGCCACGCTAATCTCAACATGGACGAAGGACTTGAAACACGAGCCAAACGACCAATCACAGATCAATACACCGAATTTGACAAGTACAAGCGAAGTGGTGCTCCGGTACCACTCTCCGATCCTCCAATCATCTCGCAGATGACAGATCGTCACTGCACCCTCTCCTGGAAACCGTCAATTCCTCCAGGACCAAGAACACCAGTGACCTACCAGTTGGAAATGTGCGAATTGCCCAATGGTGATTGGTTCACAGTGCGTACGGGGATTAGGAGTTGTACTTGTGGAGTACGCAACTTGGAACCATTCAGGGATTACAAATTTAGAGTCAGAGTAGAAAATAAGTACGGAATAAGCGACCCATCACCTTATGCCCTCACCCATCGGGCTAAACTCGAGCCAGATTTACCCAAATTTCGACCATGGTTACCCCCAGAAATTGATTTCCGCCCGGAAACATCCCCCTATTTCCCCAAAGACTTTGATATCGAAAGGCCGCCTCATGATCACATGGCCCAAGCCCCGCGATTCCTGCGACAAGAACATGACACCCAATACGGGGTCAAGGATCAAAATACGAATCTGTTTTGGTTTGTTTATGGGTACCCCAAACCAAAAGTGTCTTTCTACTTCAATGATGAGCTTATTGAAAGTGGGGGGCGATTTGATATGAGCTACACCAGAAATGGACAAGCAACGCTGTTTATTAATAAGTAAGAGGAATTTAATTTTTTGTTAGTTTTTTATGTTATTTTTGACAGGATGTTGGAACGTGACGTGGGTTGGTACGAGGCAGTGGCCACTAATGAGCATGGCGAGGCAAGACAAAGAGTCCGTCTAGAGATTGCAGAAATGCCTCAATTTATCCGAAGACCGGAAATACAATACGCAATGCATAGAGGAAAAGTGAGGTTTGACGCCAGAATCGTGGGAGTACCGTATCCGGAAATCAAGTGGTACAAGGATTGGAAGCCTTTGGCAGCCTCCAGCAGAATCAAGGTCAGTTATTTCACCCCCATTTGGGACACTAACTAACTTTGATTGGGCAAATCCTCTCGGATTCGCAAATGTTTTTTCCATTTAAAACTGTACTTTGTAGGAATATTAGTTAGTTGTATTAAAGTTTTAAACAACATTTCACAAATCACTACCTACCTATTTCGATCTATTTTTTCTATTAGCTCAATGGGTATGAGATCACTTTTATGGGTATTCTGTCATAACGTCAAATTACAAATTTCTTGGCCAAATTTCTTTTATATTGGGCTTTTAAAGTCTTAAACAACACTTCACAAATCACTACCTAACTATTTCAAGTCGAACATTGTAAAAATTAACGGGGTTTTACATCGTTTTTGGCTTACGTTTCATGCATTATGTTCGTCATCTCACAATGTCAGAATAACCTTAATTTATACATTTCTTCGCTAAAATTCTTAATAAAATAAGGGGCTCTTATGTGTTAAACAACACATTACGACTTACCATTTTGCCTTTTTCAAATCACCAGTAACGTATACTTCCGTTTTTCTATCATTTTCGTTTGATTTTCTTGAAGAGTGTGAGCCACATTTACGCGAAAAATGTCACCAACTGTCAGAAGTGTCAGATTGAATGATTGAAATGCAACGCACTCTTGGTTCAGGTTATTTTAAACTTAAAATTTATACATTTTTAGGCCTTTTTTCTCTATGAAACTCTACTACTTTGTAGAATTATGATTGAATTTTTGTTTTTTACTTTCACTCAATCTCTACCTTTTCCCGTTTTCTACTTTTAGTGCTTTTAAATTTCTAAGAGGAAAAAAACAATTGTTATTGTGCGACAAAGATGGTTAAATTAATTTTTACACGGTTAGAGAGCGTTGGAGCTATCTTGTTTTAGTAAGGTACCGTGAGATCAAAAATTATCTTGGTCAAGGGTGGTCATGGATTTTAAAATAATTGTCGTAGGTATGTCGACGCTGTCATTGAGTCAAACATTGACAGAATTATTTCAAAAATATGATATAAGACGACAGACGTCTTCCATTTCATGACCACCCTTGACCAAGATAATTTTTGATCTCACGGTATAGACAGCTGTCCCAGCGAGTTGAAAAAGTTTATTAGAGACCTTTAAATGGTAAAATTAAAATATATATATATAGGACATTGATAGATACTAATTTAGTCTGTCGCCTAAAATTATTTTCAACTATACAGCGTGTCCCAAAAATAAGTTACAATACATTAATACAAACTTGTATTTTTTCAAATAAAACACCATATGCTTCTTAGCGTTTTTGGATGTAGATTTTTATGACAATTTATTTAAGCTAAACTTTTATTGGTCGATTTTGGTTAGTTTTAGAAATAAGACGTTTTTTTGACGAAAACATGCACTTTTTAAAAATTTATTACACAAAAACTAAGACATCTACAAATATTTTTTTTCACTATCGCAAAGAAGAAGGTGCAAGCTATAAGGTTGTAACATTTTTTTAGTGTGTTGCATTTCCAAAAATAAAAAATGAAGGCGTTTGTTAAAAGTTCAATAACTTAAAAATAAATTTAAATTGAATAAGTATCCTATTTATTGTTTTTCCATTTAAATAATTATTAAATTGTCTTTCTAAAATTATTTACTTTTAAATATTTATAATCAATATTTAAAAAATAAAAAAATATATTACTATTGTTTCAGTAGCCAAAAAGTGAAAAAAAAATCACTTAATAATCATATTTGTATTAAACTGAATCCATTATTCTTTATTTTTACAATAAAATAATTCGAATTTCAGCATTTATAACGACTTTTGCAATCTCTGGATAAATGAACGGATAAGTGATCCGTGGTGGAATTACTATGATTGCCATAGTATCAACAATGCTCAGATTTTGATAAGCAATGTTGCTACAATTAATATTGAATGTTAAATATCTTTTCATTTATCAATTCTAGACAATAAAAGTTTATTTCTTTTAGATAGACAATTTATCAATCTGTTAGATGCAAAAATAAAAAACAGGGTGTTGTATTTAAATTTTTTAAGTTATTTAACTTTTAACAAACTTCTTAATTTATTAATCTTTACAAATGCAAAACACTAAAAAATTGCTACAGCTTTAAATTCTGTATTTTCTTCTTTACAGAAGTAAGAAAAAATTTGTTCTAGCTGTCTGAGTTTTTGTGTAATAAATTTTTAAAAAGTGCATGTTTTCGTTAAAAAAACGTCTTATTTCTTAAACTAAGCAAAATCGATTAATAAAAGTTTAGCGTAAAAACATTGTTTTAAAAGACTACATCCAAAATGGCAAAGAAACAGGCTGTTTCATTAAAAAAACACAAGTTTATATCGTAACTTATTTTTGGGACATGCTGTTTGGTTGAAAATAATTTTAGGTGATGCACGAGATTAGTATCTATGAATGTCCTATACATTTTTTTTTTGTATTTTTAAAATTTAAAGGTTACTAATGGACTTTTTCAACTCGCTGGGACACTGTATAATTGTACAGTGCGATCAAAAAGTCTTTCTATCAAGTAGGCGTACTAGTTGAGGACGTATGTCAACTAGATGTCAAAAAATCATTTTATAAAAAATAAAATATTGATCTAAACAAATTGAATTACTGTATGAAACGTCTTAAAACACTCTAAAATGAGATGTACGAGTAGTTGGAGTTCACCACGATTTGTTTTTACAGTTTACAAAAAAAAATATTTTGACATTTCGTATTTACCATTGTGACATTTTATCTTCGGCAGACACACGTTTTAAATTTCTAGGCTTACTAGATAGATAAACTTTTTGATCGCACTGTATTTTTCCTAATAAAGATCCAATTCATCGAACCGGACACCACCGTCCTCGTCATCAACGACATCATCAGCAAAGACGAAGGCCTCTACTCCGTGAGCGCCCGCAACGTCGCCGGCTCCATCTCCAGTAGCGCAATGCTCCACGTGGAGGAGCACGACCTCGACTACAACATCCACACCTACCGCAACCTCGCCCAAATCAAGCCCAAGAAGAAGCCATTGACAGATTTGTACGACCTCGGCGACGAGTTAGGTCGCGGCACCCAAGGAGTGACCTACCATGCCGTGGCACGTCTCAACGGTCGCAACTACGCCGCCAAAGTCATGCACGGCCGCGGGGAACTCAAACCCTTCATGTACAACGAACTCGAGATTCTCAACGAATTGAGACACAGGAAACTCATCTGTCTCCACGACAGTTACGAGAGCGACGATACGTTGGCTCTTATCTTGGAGTTGGCCGCCGGAGGAGAACTCGTCAAGGACTACCTCCTCAAACAGGAGTACTACACGGAACGGGAAATCGCCGGGTTTATCCGACAGCTGCTTCAGGGCCTGGAATACATGCACGAGAGGGGATACGGACACATGGGGCTCAATGTGAGTCCTCAAAGTAGCCCAGTCAAATTAGACAAAAATAGGGCGATCGGTGGAAAAAAAATCCTAGAAAGTTGGATTTTTTTTAAACGCTTTCTTTATTCTTGGGTCGACATACAGAGTGTTCGGTCCAAGTCGCCCCGGCTCACAACACCTAAACTTACTTCTTTTTTTCAGAAAGTAAATATTTAAGTAACAGTATTCATTCTTGGTGTTGCCGGAAATGCTACCAAATTTAATTTTTTTTTCAAATGGAACACCTATGTTTTTTTTCCTCCAAATAATAATCATTGACATGAAAAATACTGTAAACACCTATTTATTACTTTTTGCGTAACCGAATGCAATTAAAAAATATCTTAAATCTTAGAATTTTATGAGGAAATTGGTCGCGTAGCCTGATTTAAAAAAAAATACTTGGCTACAGTTTAATTGTTGGTTTGACAAATCTAATTTGTCAGTTTGATGAGCGAGTGCTCTTATGGAAACTCTTGGATTTTCTTCGACTGATAACAGAACATTCAGATTTCTAATTTCTTGTTCTTCACAAAGAACCACAGGTTTTTTAATTTTAAGAAGCGAACCTATTCGTCTCAGTTGTTTTTCAATTCGACTAAATTTCCAACCATTTGGGTGAACTCTATTTGAGTATTTGTCTCTATACTGTCTTTCAGCTTCCGCTCTATTTTTATTGCACTTAAAAAACACTTCAAGCTTATCTACCAATTCGTCGTAATTAATATCATCCATTATTAAAGATCTCAATAAGATAACAATTAAATAATAACAATTAAACGGTATCCAAGCATATTGCTTTTTGCATAAATACCTTGACAAGTAAAATCCGCCTACGTTGCAAAGTTTGCAATAAAATTCAAAAATTTAAATTGTTTTCTGAGTGCATTATGTAAAGTAAAATGTAATAAATAGGGGTTTACAGTATTTTTCATGCAAATTATTATTGTTTCGAGCAAAAAAACATAGGTGTTCCATTTGAAAAACTAAATTTGGTAGCATTTCCGGCTACACCGGATGTGCCAAAAAAATTTGACGCATTTATTAAGAAAACGAGGAATGAATAGTATAATTTGAAAATTTAGTTTTTGAAAAAAAAAAGTAAGTTTAGATGTTATGGGCTGGGGCGACTTGGACCGAACATTCTGTATATCAAAAGTCTCCGAAGGTGGAGGGAGAGCTCGAGGAGGGGGAGGAGGCTAAAGGTGTCTTTTTTTGTTTTTTTGCTTATATCTCGGAAACTATTACTCCTAACGCTTTTTGCTTGCTTATCAAAATTAAAGCTTACAAAATTTCCTACAAAAATGGTCCTTTGCATTTTTGTTGTAGGACTAACCGTAAGCGAGTTACAGAGCTGACAAAAAAACGTCATTTAAAAAAATGTGCTTTATCCGCATTTAAAACAGAATTAATCTTGTGATTCGAAAAAAACTGAAAGCAAATTGAATTTATTGGGTGCAACACTTTATTAGAGAGTCTATAAAGTCTTCCGAGTCGTCCTCATATGCTGCATCTTCGTCTTCAACTTAAACATTGAAAACCGAATTACAGTCTTGTTCAGTACAATATTAATAAATAGATGAGTTAATATCGATGATTTGAATAAAGCTTACAGTAAATTGAATGTATTGGATCCAACAGTTTATTAGAGTCATCCTTATATGCTGAACTAGCATTTGCCTGCGATTTTGTCCGCGTGTATTTCTGATATAAAATAGGAAAAAGCCCGTTCACAAAACCATTCCATAGGCTTAGGTACTCTATAAAGCTAGATAATTACCTATGTTATGTATAGGATTCAGTTATAGTAGTCTCGTTCTTTGCATGGGATAAATATTAAATGTTGATTTTCATAAAGTGTCGTCTCAGTGTACTTCTGCACTCTCAAAATTCGAAATTTCATGTTTTTAATTTTATTTTTAAGCGTTTAAACTTTATTTTATTTAATTACAATTTGAAAAGTGCACTTCTACACTCTCTAAGGATAGTATTTTCTAAATTTAATGTTTTTGTATCCCTT